CGAAGTTGCTGCCGGAGCCTGAGAAACTCCACCGGCGGTCATACGATGGCTTAGATGCCCTCACGAATGGCCCGATGTTGCTACGATCACAGCCGAATTTGAACATTTCCTTTATCGTGTGTCCATCGGGTGTCAATTTCGGGACAGTGTGACAGGGCCTTAACAGAATTGGAATGTGCCAGAACATCTTAAGAGGAAATCTATTGATTGTCATTCTGTTCACAAGTTCCTTTGTGATGCTCATTATTTTTCCGGCTATAGCTCCCAGATCATTTCTACTCTCTGTGGTGTGCCGTACACTTCAAAAGAACGGGAGTTTAATTTATTAGATCAAATTAAGTCAGGCAATCGTGGAATTAAGTAGTGGGTTATGTGCCGACATCTATAAAAAGAAGCTAAATGCTTCCTGCCATTTATTCACTTCATTTAGATCCCTTAAACTCAATTAAGTGTTAGTGATTGTCTGCAACTGAACTCATATCAGACTGTGGTGAGAGCACTGCAAAGTTTTGGATATTAGTTTTACAAAGAACTCTGTCAATAGTCTATTTGCCTGCATATGGAGTCCTATTGTAAACCCACATGTATTGAGTTCACAAAAGTGTTATGTTGAAATGTATAGTATGAGTCTCTGGCATATAGGAACTGCTGGGTGCTAAGTTGCATATGTTGGGCAATTTTGTGAATTAGCACGAGTTGAGTGAAGTAGCATACATTAGCATAATCACCTATATCCCCAATATTTCAAAAAAAGATTAGCACATTTGGATGTTATTGGAGTGGTTTTGGAGAGTTAATGAGGATGCTGAATCCATTTCTCAGAAGTGTTAGAGGACTGTAGATCAAAACTAGTTTAAAATGATTGATTTGATCATTGATTGAAAATGAAAAAGGTTGCCAAATGCATTCATATGTTGAGATTATGTTGGACTTTTATGAAACAAACAATACTTATCTCACAGAGCGAATGTGAGTGAACTGCTCATGATTGTATCTTTGTGCACGGTCACCTAACATACAAATGTAATCCGTCCAACGAAATGCATCACCCAAACATGATGTGACCGGTGTTTGGTGAACTATTCAGTCATCTCTCTTTGAAACACTCCATCAGTGCATCTGTCTGTCATGCTTCATCTATTAATATGTCATCGCCTTCACCTTTCTCTTGACCTTAGCCTTGATGCCCCTGTGTCTCATCTCACTTCCCCTTTTTTTTCTGTTGTCTCCATCTCCCTGTGGGAGAGCGGGGAGTTTGCATCAGCACCGCTGAGAGGCGTTGATTGTCTTGTTTCCTTACATCTCTGTGTAGCCTTCACTGATAGATGACCAATAGGTTATGGACGGACTGAGTTTCTCATTGTGAGGAAAATGTCTTTGTTGATGTGCTGAGGCATTTCTCGATGTCTGCCCTTCTCTCCGCACCTCTAAGCACCCAGCATTTGACAGACAGAAATTTGCGGGAGAAATTCAATGTCGAGTCAAGTCAGTCACAAAGTGAGTTTGTGGTGAGGTTACAAATTCATGTTTGGGAGATTTTTTCAATCGAAAAGCACCTGGTTTTTGTCATTTAAGGGATAAGGCTACAGGTATTTGAATTGAACAGACACATACCTGAGCTATCATGTTAGCAATTGCCAGAAGTTTTGTTAGAGTATCAATACTTTAATCTCCCCAGTCTTCACCCCAGGGCCGTCCCAGGCCAACTTGAGGCCCCATGCAAAGTTCGATAATGAGGCCCTCTGTTTCGCGAGCGTCAACGCTCAGTTGAGGCTCCCTCCGCAAGATGAGGCCCCTTCAGCAAGATGAGGCCCCCTCCACGAGGTGAGGCCCCACGCAGTCTGCGTGATCTTCCTGCTTCACCCCATCCCATCCTTTTTACTGGTTACCAGGTTATAATAATATACTTTTAGTTTTAAAACTTCATGTCTGCTCCTTTCACAAAATACCAAAGGGAGGAGCTGTAGCGTAAAGGATTATGGACATTGTCCCGCCTACATTTGTGGTACTTCTTTTCAAAAGAAGGGGCACATTGTCTTTTACTTACAACTAAAATGCAGTAACCTGTTTCCTCAGACATTCACCATCAGATGAATCCCAGGAACTATCAGGAGGCACCTGAATCAAAAATGGACATTCCACCAAGTTATGAGCAGCAACAACAATTTAAATACAACATATATTGAGTAATACACTTGAGGTCAAGATTATATCATTTCACCCATAATGACAATGATAACAATGTGGGCTAATGGTAGAATGACGATATGCTTTCAACCCCTGATACAGTACTGATTTTCAGCAAAAGCCCAAATTAACATCACATCTCTTGACTGTTACAATGATTCCTGTTTCTTTATACATTTGTTTTGATTACTCTATGTATCCAGCAACACTTTATTGTCTTGATGTCTCTATTTTGATGTCTTTCTCTACAAATTAAACTTTTCATAAATGTTGTTTATGTTTTTTTTTTTACTTTTCTTATGTGACCAGTAGTTGTGAAACAGATTAGGCATGTTTTGCGCTCATGAGAAAATGTAGTAGACTATAAGTATACCTGAACATGTACGTATACTAAGTATACTACGTTTACTCAAGAGTGGCGTCTTCACATTACCAAGAGCTGAGGAAAGGGACTTAAAATGTTGTTCCAGTGCTTGTCTGAGTTGTGAATATGTCTAGGCTGGAAATGCCTGGAATTTAAAGTATAGCCAAATACCCTGAATGCATTGTTATGCCTTCAACCTACTGCTGGCATCCTCAATAATTCAGAAACCCCCCACCTGTCCATCAGCAGATACTTGCACTTTGAGCCAGGTACCATGGGGGCTCTGTTATGTGCAGGTTGGAGAAACACAGGAGGATCCTCATGAAATCATAATCCTGACACTTCCAGATCTGTTTCTTGGGTTGAAAAATCTATCCAGGGGTCCATTCACTATTTATCATTCCCTGACAGGTGGTATACATTTCAATGCCTTCCCTCTGTGCCTTGGAGACAGCCCGTCTGTTCTTTCCTCAAAACATTTTCATGTGTTCTACCCTGGTTGGAAAACAGCATTGTTGGAGGTTGAAGTGTAATCACTGTGACAATGCCATAACTTTGAAGAAATATGGTTATAGTAATGTCTTTTAAATCTTGCAATGAAATGTCAATCTAAATGCATCCTATTGTGGTTTTATCAGCTGTAAATGAAGGATGTAAAATCTTGCATGATGAACTGCCACTTGATATGTAAATCTTGCTGCTAATTGAGGGATCACAATCAACTTAAATATTAAAGTTTACAATTCAGCTTATACTTTGGTGACACTTATTTTCGATTGTTTTGGTTGTGTTAAGCAGGTATTAAAAATGGCAAACGAGATACATGGTAACGCTTGTTATGCTGATCAAACAAGTGATGCTTGTTTGATTGAGCCCAAAAACGAACCTTGATGTTTTCAGACTAAAACTGTAATACACAGTGGCTATCATTGTAATATTGAAGATTACTCAGCTGCCAAGTTGTAAGAGCACAGCTGCAGAGTTGAAACCAAGCAATATGCCCAACAAAAAAAGATTGACAAATTCTTCAATACCCAGGTTCAATGACACGTTTTCTATGTCTGTGACAACATTTTAAATATTATTATTTAGTTGGAACAAAATCCAGACCATAGATAATAAAATGGTAATTTCAGTTCTGCTTTGTGAGAAAATGTCAGATGTTCTGCATGCCGACCAACCCCCCAGTCTTTTCTGACACACTACATCAGGAACACTGACATCAATTGTGAGGGGCAGGATTTGAATGCTGGGGTTATTTGGCTGTGCTGTAAAAAGCACAATGGGCTTCATTACTTGAATATAAAAGTGCTTAAGTTGGTTTCCAGCTACAGAGCAGGTACCTGTGCCATTTTGTTAAAGTTGTACGGTTAAAAGTAATTTTAAAACTAGACAAGGTGGACCAGATGCCAACCTGCAACATGTAGGACAATATTATACAATACAATTTATATTGATCCATAAGCGTAAAAATAAATTATTGTATGTACACTGTAGTCTGTTGCTTAAAATCAGATTCACCTCAATGCACGATTGAAATAAAAACTCTATAAAATGGCACAAAAAGCTCTGAATTGCCCTTCACCAGCTGCACATATGCGTAAATATTCATTTTCTTTGTCGTAGTTTTCACTATATTCCACCAAAAAAGTGCATCCCGGTGGCTTGTTCTGTTTTGTGCCAGTAGGGCGTTATGTAGGCGACGAGAATGGTGACAGGTGGGCAAGCCCTTGACCCCACCTACCCGTGTGTTTATTGATTGACATCCAATCAACTTCTGGACATTTATTATGTTATTAAAATGCTGAGCAGACCAGCACAAAGCGGGTCACCATGTCACCGTAAGACTTGGCTGTAAAGTGAATTTAAAGGAAACATTTCTAACTGTTGGTGGCAGTTTAAGATACAGTGTAGAATTGTACATCAACATGTGTCCCCTCTGTGTAAAGAGATTCTGGAAAAAATATGTTCTCTCTTTTTGTCCTGATCCATTTATATAAACCTGTCTGAAAATGAGCTGATCAGCTTTTGGCTACTTTATGATGTCATAACGATTTGTTGGCTTGTGTAACCATTAGCCAATCACCAACCAATGTAACACCCCCCACCTTATCACCTGAATCTCCTCCTAGAGCACCATTGTGTTATTTATACCAAATATCTCTCAGAGGGGCGTGGGGAGTGGCTCCTTATTTTCATCTAAAGTAACTGACAGAGAATCAGCACTTTTGAAACAGGGCTGAAACAGAGGGGATTATGGGTAATGCTGCAATTCATGATCTGTTTGGTATTTCGAGCCAAACACTTCAGAGACATGTTTTGTATATTTCTGAGACCTATAATATGTTGTTGAAAAACAGTATATTAAGGGATTAAGTAACTTGGTTCACTTGATTTCGGGAGAGAACAATCTATTTCTGATCAAGTCTTTGTCCTTTGCTTGACCCAGTTCTACAGATGTTTCCAAGCCCTGCTGCGATGTAAGGTTCCTCGACGAGGCTCCAGCATAAAGAGCTCCTCCAAGGTTGCCACCAAGGCCATGAGGGGGATCGCAATCACTGGTACCCGCCGCACCAATGACTTCTTGTTTATGGTGGCTTCCCTGGGCCATCCGGCGGCCTCCGGGCCCCAACTTGGACCGTTTGTGGAGCCAACCGTTGACATCACCAAAGCCCCTTCTTCAGACATCAACAGACATGTCGAAGTGTCGATTGCCAGTGATTGGCTATAACCACGAATTCCCAAAGAGAAATCATGAGAGAAATGATGTTACTGATGCATGGAGAGGCGTATCCGAGCAAATCAGGTGGATTTATTGCAGCTGTTGTATCAGCTTTATGACAGCTTAGAGATGGAATGGACCGGTAACAGAGGCAAATCTTGTACTGCCTTTGGTCGATATATAAAACCAGCCGGAGCTTAGAGATCTCTGCAGATAAAAAGGAAACATGGTATTTTCTAGGCATTTTAAGGATTTCTTATCACATGTTTGCATAAAGCACTGTTATGGTAGGAGAAAACGATTTATAGGGATAATCTTTTGTGCAATATCTACGCTCGGTAAAGAATTGACTATGGCATGAGAGAAATGTAGCCTACTCCGAGTTCAGAATGGATAAGATGTATTTTTGTATTGATTGGTTATTGATTGTAGCAGTGGTTACAAAGTGAGGTAGAAAGAACACATGTTGTTTGTCATCTTAAGCATTTCAAAGTATTTCCTAAAGTAGACAACATTATGAAATATTTGAGCAATGAGAATGTACTTGAATTGTTTTTTAAGTATAAGTGTTTTAGCTTTTTATTCATTGCCCGTCATTTTCCTTTTAATTCATCACTTGTCACTTTAAATCGCATAAATAATCTTTTGATTAACTAGTTAAATGTGTGGTTCATTGAAAGTAGCATTGCTAGCATGCTAAGGGCATTAACTTTCACCAGGGATATTGACCTAGGGTTAGTGAAATAGGTGCATGTTGGAGAGTTACTGTATAGTTCCTTCAATAATGACGTGCATGTGCACTGTTGCAGGATGCAATAGAGGTTGGAAATATACAGTGTCACATAATGTTCAGTGGTTAGCACTAATACAGATACTAAACTTGCTTTTTTTTTTTTAAATGTGTGTATCAACACACATTTTGAGGGCTGTTATATATTTGATATTACTTTTGTGACCAAACCCCAAAGCGCAGGGTGTACTATGTGTTGAAGAACTGGTTCACAGACTATTTAACAATGATTAACAGATCAGTGCCTTGCTCATTGGCACACAGTCAGGCTTTGAAAAAAGAAAGTATAAAAGACAATCCTGACCAATATGAATTATTTTCTAGTGTTGCAAAATAAAACACTTTACTCGAGTCAACAAATATGCTTTAGATGGAATCATTTTGTTCTGTGTGTGCTTCTGTCTGTCTGCAAAACTCATTTGACACTTTTCCCTTTTGCAATACAAAGAAGTTTTTTAAAGCCGTGTTGTCAGTGAATGTCTAAGCTATCAGTGGTGTGGTACTTTTTCGCTACTGCCTAATTAGTGTGTGTGATTTACTGGTAATCCACTTTTAGCAAACTGTTTTCTATGTGCTGTCAAGACCTTGTATACATTGTTGTACATGAGTTGATACAAAGCTATAAAACTTGTGAAATGTTTTGGAGGAGAGCTGTTCAATAAAGGTTTTTGTATCTAAATCAATGCTGTGCTTTATTTTGATGAACATCTATTTAAAAAAAATAAAGGTTGTTATTAAAGAAGTATTTAAGTGTTGTTTGCTGTACAGAGTGTACAGAGTAATAAGGGTAAATAATGTCTGGATGTTAGAATGATATACTAGTCAGGTCTTAGAATGTATATATTCATACTTATATAAAAGAGAAATGCTCTCTTTATTCCCTCAACTTCTTCCTTTATCATCAACTGTTGACAAAGTGGAACTTTTCTGCCTGGACTTTCAGATTCAGCCTGAGACATTTAGCATGATATAACTTATGACGCAATTTAGGGAATATTTGAATTAAAGGAAAATGGTTATTGTTTTAAAACAGGTCATCTTTAACCTTAGAGAATTAGGTTGAAACAGTGTTTTCAGCCAAAGAGCAAACATTAGCTTAATTTGCCGGCTAATGTAGTTGCAGCGTGTCTGTAATTGAAAAAAATCAATTAATTAAGTGTATAATGTGCCTTCTCAGTAAGGAAGGCTTGAGAGGTAAATAAACATTTAAGAGGACATAAGAGCGTTATCATTCAAAATGCACTTGAAAGTTTAAGAAAGAATATAATTACTGAACAATTCCCAGGACCAATATGGATATATAAACAGGCTTTATAAAAAGGTTACCTGAGGTAGTCAGCATCTTATGAAATTACCCTATTTAATACACATTGGTTTTCCAGAGGGAATGTTAAATGTCAGGCTACCTCTAACCTGGTCACAAGACGGGTTTTTTTCCTTCACTGGAGATCCTCTTTTAAATTGGAACTACTACAAAGATATCCCAAGTTGTAATTTCACACACTGGTAAAAAAAAAGGGGAGTCTCATGACCACTTAACTGCCCTAATTGTCCGATATAACAGTGCCAACTTTCCAAGGTCAATGAGACCTGTTTTCATCTTCAATTTCTTGGTCTCAAATCTGGTTAAAAAACAAGAGAAAGTTGTGGTGAAAGAAAAATTACACATCAACACAGAGATGAGAGCAGCCAAGCACAAAGCGTTGTGGTGTTTTTGACCGTGATGTAATTCCACTGGGAGAGCTTTGACAAAAATAACTTGTAAATCATGTGTGATGGATATTGTAATGAATCCATGTGTTCGAGAATAACGGGGAATAGTGAATCGGTTAAATTCATTATATAATTACCATCACACTTGGGGTAAATACGTTTTACTACAACAGTTGACATGAAGTGAATTATCATAACACTGACTGGACCATAGTCTTGGCAACCAGTTGTGGATATGACAAATGAACTTGATTGACCCAGGTATATAAATGAAAGGATTTATTTATTAAATAAATATGATTTATTTATGCAACATATTGATTTTAATACTGGGCTTAGTTGAATATTGTAAATTGATTGGCCGATTTGGAAATTCAGCATTTTGCTCTTACGCTCTGATCAAGGGACCAGGTGCAGTCAGATCTATCCGCAGAAAGAACTTGGTAAATGTTACGTGAGTTTTAGCCAAATATCAAATTATTATTCCTGCAAAGAAAATGTACAGAATTTTGTAGTCATGATGATGAACTGTCGAAAAGAAAAAAAAGTAAAGAGGGCAAAGAAGATAGAGAGCTGGACGTCAGAGAAAGCAGCAGAAAAGTGTTTATGGAGAAGACAATGTGGACAATCTTGGACAGTTACAAAAAATCAGCGCTGCCGTCATTCTAAGTTTGTAGCTGTCGATGCAGTTTCAGCAGTTGGTACGCTTGCGAAAGAGATTATTTTTTCTTAGAGGAAGCAATGCATTTGTTTAAATTAATAACATCACATTTAAATCAATATTTGTTATAAACCAGATAATGTCCTCATGTAACATTTGGGTCATCTGTGGATGGCAACCAAACGTTTTACAAAAACTACAGGAACCTAAGCCTATCCACTGGAGAATGAAACTAAATTGGTAAAGGGGCTTCAGGTCGAACAAATGTGTTTTCAGCATCGACTTTAAATCTCTTTCAGGCTTCTGTGCATTTTCAGGGATGTTCTCTTAATCGCTTCCCTGTAAAACTTTGACCTCGGCTGTTTACTGTAAAGCCCCTGGTGAGCGGAGATGAGACTTCATTGTGGTGTTTGATAAAAGACACTCCTGTTGAAAAGCCAGAAAACTGGACTAAATATCAGTTATGTCAATTATTTGTATAGCTAATACACCAATGCATACTCGACCTGAAAATATGATATCATACTCTGTGCTTAAGGTCATAATCATAAGTCATAATCAGTGCTTTCATGTGTCTTTAAATGCAAAGGTTTGTTCAAACACTCAAAGGGATGAGCTTCTTCCTACAGGGTAGAAGACAACTTTGAAACACATGCATAGTATCATGTTTCATAGCACATAAGGTTGCTGTGGTTGTTGCCATATTATATGTCAACGTAAACACTAAGTGCATAAATCTTCTCCTCTCATATTAAACAGTATTGGTCCCCGCAGCACAGGTGGTCCAGTGTTTGTGTTTGACCCCAGCCAAACCTGCCAGACTAAAGCAATTATAATATCTGGCAGGCAGCGTTGTGACCGGGGGTCTAGCCAGCTCTCTGATCAAATTATGAAGGATGCAACACATTGTTAATGAGTGCAGACGGTCCAGAGGATTCCAGGTAATTGATTAATAGAGTCTTCGATCATCTGAAGCAGCCTACCATGACTTTTATCAAAGACTTTACAGTTTTCACTTGGGCCTCTTTGAGTCAGGTGCCAGAGGGACAAGGTGACAAAATGTGGGGGGGGGGGGGATTCTGGGGAGAAGTTCCATGAAAAGATCCTATCATTCCCTTACCTTGGGCTGTATGACAAGTTTTTTTTATATTTCTTTATAATTTGTCTTTTGTCATTTTTCGAATTTAATCTGTTTATGTGGTGGATGAATACAATTACAACAATTGTTCATTATGTATTGAATATCAATGAATTTGGTCTAATACAACAACAAAGACATTTTTCAATACAGCTAGAAAATAACATTGTAAAATGAAGTCAAAATACCTGCGTGTTTCAGGGCGGCATACAATACCAATAGATCTCACAATTTAGAAACACTTATAAATGGAACCTGTTCCATATTGAACAACATCATCTAGCAGCTACAACAAAGACTCATACTGAAGATGAGTCTTTGTTGCTTGGCTGCTCTTATCTCCGTGTTGATGAACCTTTAACCCTTGTATGGTATTCGGGTCTGTGGGACCCGTTTTCATTATTTAGTTAAAGAAAAATGATGTAATAAATTATTTGTTCAAACCCACACTCAATGGCCATGGCTCATTTTCTGTGAAGAACATATATCAGAACACAAGGGGGCTAACACAAGTGTGGAAATTGTAGGTCCTGTGCACCTGTCTTGGCCTTCTGTGTGTGTGTGTGTGTGTGTGTGTGTGTGTGTGTGTGTGTGTGTGTGTGTGTGTGTGTGTGTGTGTGTGTGTGTGTGTGTGTGTGTGTGCGTGTGCGTGTGTGCGTACATGCGTGTGTGTGCGTGTGTGTGTGTGTGACTTTTGTGTTTCTGCCCCTGCCATTCCCGCACAAGGTTGCAACATTGTTGATAAATTCACGCACAGACACCTTTCTGCTCTCACGTTCCCGCATTATGTCTTGCGGATACCAATCTTTATTTTGTTCACACTCTATCCAAGCTGTACATTTGGGGCAAGACACAATAAATAAAGCTTCGCCAGTTTGGGTCCTTATCACAACTGATCAAGATGGCCAAAAGATTCTCTGCTCAGAGGGCCTTGCAAATTATTCTGGAAGAGAGAGAACCATGTGATGATGGTGTAGAGGAAGAGAAAGAGGTTTCAGAATGTGAGGATCACATTTCTGAGAATGCTGTGTCCGACAGTGACTTTGAAGAAGAGGATTGAGCGACCCGACCACGGATAAGCGGGAGAAGATGGATGGATGGATGGATTGAGCATCAGCTAGTTGCAAAAAAAAAGACGAGCCACAGTACCACAGTATGGTCAGTGGGCAAAACGAGTAGCACTTTTATTCATTAATGTGGCAAATATTGCGGCCGCAAGGCATTGTGGGGCAGCATTTTCTCCTTTCCTTTCATAAAGGAAGGTCCAGTGTTTCCTTCTGTAAAGGAGGTTAGGAAGGAAGTTTCAAACCTCCTTTCCTATCATCTAGAGCAGTGATTCTCAAATGGGGGTACGCGGACCCCTAGGGGTACGTTGGGGTACTGCAGGGGGTACGTGAAGTAAAATAAATAAAAAGGTTAATTAAAAAAAGACCATGCATGATTACAAAAATAATCTTAGTACAATAAGTTAAATGGAAAATACAATTGTATATAAAATATTCCTAGAACCACTAAGGGTCATATAAACATGTTACATTTGTGTATTGTATTTATAGTTTTTAATAATATATCATTGTGTTCATTGGTTTGTTAAACATATATTATACACCAGAATCTGGTGTTTTTTAGTTGATGAGTAGTGCAGATACCACTGTAAAATCAATCGACAGTAAGGAGAATACTTACTTCCGGGGTGTAAAATGCTCCGTTATCCAATGGGAAGGGACGCTCACATTGCCTTTAACTGCTGCCGACATGGACCGATGCGGTGCTTCCCTGAGCGTCAAATACCGCCGCCGATGGGAATACATTGGAATCAGTTGAAAGCTCTTTGCTAAAGGAGACTCGGTGCGTCACAACTGCACGCCAAAGGACCCTGACCAAGCATCGCTCCTGGACTATCAGGGAGTGAGACTGTGTTGGGACGGATGCTTTGCTTCCCTGAGCGTCAAATACCGCCGCCGATGGGAATACATTGGAATCAGTTGAAAGCTCTTTGCGTCTGTTTATGAAGCTGAAGGAGACTCGGTGCGTCACAACTGCACGCCAAAGGACCCTGACCAAGCCTCGCTATTGGACTATCAGGGAGTGAGACTGTGTTGGGACGGATGCTTTGCTTCCCTGAGCGTCAAATACCACCGCCGATA